CAGACTATTTTTTGAAGGAATTTGGTACCTGTTACTAAAAAGACAAAAGGCACTCTCAGTCTGAATCAGAGAAGCTGCCCTACTGTGAGTGGTGGTGAATACAGGAGCGCATGGCCACCACTGTGTTGAGTAAGGGACACTGAGTGCACATCCCTAAATGGGACACTTGCACCGCCCTTTCTAAGAGAGCATGGTGGGAAAAAAGGAAGACTGAACCTAAGGGGGAAGATAGGGAGAAGGGCTCCAAAATGCCATTTTGGGGGCCTGGCACAGCCATTGCCATTCTGAGCTCACAGCAGCTGCACTACTCCAGCTACCTATGCTGAGTCTGCACAAGACCGACCCTGTCAACAACTGGTTGTGGATGGGGGAGGGGCTCGTGGAGCCCTATGCCTCCCTGCTGACCCACTGGCTACTTAAAGATTCTGGGAGAAGAAGACTCATCCTCTGTTGTGCACTCACCAGGTGACAGTGGATGACTCCAAACCCATCGTCACACAGACACTGGTTAGGCTCAGTGGGTCATAAACAAAACAAAGGCATGAATGAGGGAAAGGGACTTGTAAAGTCGAGGGGATTGGCGGGTTGGAAGGTGAGATAATCAGAATGCATTTCATATATGTACAAAAATATCAAAAGAACAAATTAAATTAATAAAAAGATTTAGACACATAGCTAGTATATGAAGATTTAATGGGCACATAGTGCATGTTTCCCCAAAATTCTAACATACAGGTATTTCCTTTGTAACAAAAGTATCTGAAGATTTTTTAAGGCAGAAGAGTTGAGCATTTACTTAGCTGCTTTTCTCATTCTGTTTGCAAATAATCTCTTTAACTTTGAACTCATATCTGGGATGTTGCAAGCCTTTGCCGAACTGGATTCCTAGGATTTATCAGGCCTTCCTTAGGACTAGCATTCTCCAATCTCATTCCACAGGTGTGTGTTGAACACCTATCATAAGACCATCCTCGTACTTCCTAGAGGGACAGAGCTGTGGTCAACCTTCATCACTGGCACCAGTGGTCAAGAGCTGATGAGACACCCAAGCCTCCCAAATCCAGTCTCGGGACACCAGCTTCCAGACATGGGACCCAGCGAGGAAAGGGTTCCTCTGTCTTCAGTGGATCCTTGGTGAGAGAATGAACCAGAAGAAGCCCCTGAAAAGGGGTGTTGAGAAGTAATTAGTACTTCTTTGCAGTAGTTGGGTTCTGGAATGTTCCCCAAAAGGACCATGACTTAAAGGCTTGGGGCCCCATCATGGTATTATTGGGAGATGGTGAAATCTTTAGGATATGCCTAACTACATGTGATGGGACCTGCCTA